AGGGTTTAGGCTTTATGCGTCCTTGAACACACTGGCCCAGTTCTACATAGATAGACACAGCAGATCGAAGTCTGTCGTTGATGGCAGCTTGCGTGTTCAGACTTGCGTGACATACCTGTGCGAAGCCTTGCCTGCTTGTGCGAAGGTGAGAGACGAAACCCTGAACCCTGAACCAGAAATCCTGAACCAGAAACCCTGTAAGGCATGATGCCAGTCAACTTCAAGCGGCATCGACATCACTCAAGCATCCATATATATATATATATTTTTTTTTACATACAGTATAATGAATTCGCTCTTCCCAGGCGTCATTAGCCCATGTACTCAGACAAATTCAAGTAGAGCTGACACATTTCTCCCGGCTCAACTTTCTTTTCCGCTTTCACGTCGCGCGATAAATTTGTATTCAACACAACATTCAGTTCATGCAGCGTTGACACTCGTCTATATATTCAGGTCATGCAGTGAGTTGTTGAACTTGCACTCGTCCATAAACTCTAACCTCCAGACATGCACACTGATCCCACATGGGCCATCGTCGCCCAAATCTTCAGACCCAGGAAACAGGACAGACACTGCTGTATTCGTCCACACATTCTAAAATTCCAAACATGCACAAGGCTTGACATGCAGCGTCCACAATTCTCCAGATTTCAGATCCGGATGGTTTAGGGCAATTTCCCTCCCACTTAGCAAGGACGAGCATGCAATGCAGGGTACTTGGGTTCCAAGAGGCAGATGCAAAAAACAGAGCTCAAGGTGTGTGTGTGTGTGTGTGAAATCTCTTGAGGCACCGACACCTCAAGACCCCAATTTGGAGGGCAAAGGGCATCTCACATGACTATGCCCTCAGGTCTCACTCGGACTCTTAGCGATGAGCGATACCACAAGAAAGCATCTCAGCACAAGATTCACAGAGGAAATTGCGCATCACTCCGGTCACTCATTTAAAGAATGTGGGCACTGGCCAACCAGCATACATGGCTGTGACTGCAGAGCTCTGGGTTTAGGGTTTAGGGTGGGCTTTATAAAGCCTACCCTAACGAAAGCAGCTCTCCCTGAGATTCGAGAAAAGGGTTCGGCAGAGGCTCTATGTGAAAATGGGTCTGGCATCGAGTCGCATTTGTAAAGATTCGATGACAGGGTTCTGCAAGAGTTCTGCAAATGTTCGGATCATGGGATTTCGTCTTGTGTGGATTTTTTTGGTCTTGGGTTCAGAGGTTTGGGGCTCCCAGATAACAGGCTTTAGGGCTTTGCTGATTGAGGTGTCACGGCGCCTCTGTGGGTGGGGCTGAAACGTCAAGCGCTCGTGTGCGTGTGTGTGTGTGTGAGGATATTGATGGCTCTGGTTTCAGGGTCGACGATCGACGAATCAGCCCACACAGCCAAAACACGTTGGGCTTCAACACCTGTAAAGGTAGTGACATTCAGATGCCAGAATTTGGAAGACCCCCCTAGGCTCGAGCTTCAAGAAGCCCCGCTTTCTGGATTGAGTAGCAGAAGCCTGAACCTTTGGGGTTTTCGACGATTCCACGAACTCAGGACTTGAACCTATTGCGGACTTAACAATAAGAATCAGGATAGGGTCGAACACACGGCCTCACATATTGGGAGTCATGGGGCTAAAGTGAGGCAAAATCGTTCTAGCTGGCCGCCCCATTTAGCCAATCCAGGCCTCATCCATTCGTAAGAAAGACTGCAAATGGTTCATGTACACCGCAGATAGCCTCAGTAGCAGCGTGGAAACGTCAAAGGCAGGGACCACTGAGGCGAGAATAAAACTTGTGAAATTCTAGTCAGTTCTGAAGCTGCAATCAAAGTCAGAAGTTTCGGCTAAAGCCTTGAAATAAAAGCCCGACTCCAAAACATTCAGCGCCGAAACCAGAAATTGTTGCATCCGTATCCCTGAACCGCATCAGCTACTCTCAAAACAAATTCTGCTGCTTTCTCGCACCATGGCTAGACAAGGCCTGCAAATGAGCCCTGGGCAACATACTAAAGCCCAGAACCGCAAACCCCTAAACCCCTGACCTCGAAATGCCTAGGGCCTAGACGCAACCTCTAAACCACGGAAACCCCGAAAACCCTATCCAAACCACTTCAACATTTAATTTCCCTGCAACCCCTAACTAAACGCTTTTGGCTTAAAATCCTTCGAACGTGTGAACCCGTCCTATCACCTCCAACAGGTGGAGACCTCGCCACTCGCAAATCTCGCTACACCTTGAATGCTTTCGAAAGTAACGACTTGCTGACCCGAATAAAGGCAGCGGTAGGCAATAGTATCCAGTTATGAATTATGATATCTCGACAATGTTTACTGGCCAGCATATGCCCCAAAACCCTGATCGAATTTTTTGAGGCTGCTTGGTTCAGCCTCGAAGCCTAAACCCTTGTAGTAGACTCCTCATGGAGGAAGCTTGATCGAAATGCCGAGGCACCTATATTAGGCCTGCCCTTCTTGTAGACGCTGTATAGAGCCCTTACAGAACCCCGAAGAGAGCACCCTAACGGGTTTAGGGCTTAGGGGTTTAGGGTTTAGGGGTTAAGGTTTTGGGGTTTAGGTGTAGACCCCTGCCTCAATACACCCTTCTGGAGGGGCCTCAGAGTTCGGATCCCAACTCTACTATCCCTTGGAGGGTCGGTTTCTCTGCCTTTTTGTTGAGGGCGGGGTGGGTACATGATGCAAAGGTACAGGCACCTTTTTTCGAAGTTGTCTTGATTCTTATAAGTCATTATGTGGGTAGTTCTCTAAATTAGGGTCCCATTTAGCGATCCTTTTTATAAGGGCGCCGTACTATATTTTGAACCCCAAAAGGGACTACCCATGTGAGGAATATGACTGGCGAGGTCCCTAAATTGGCTTCTCAAGGCTCCGGGCTTCGAGAAGTAGAGTCACTGGAGCTACTGAGACACATTCCCAACCACCCAACCCTGAAAACCTAAACACTAAGACCCTGGAGCCACTAAATCAACAATTCTGGAAGCCAATGTCCTAACGAAATGGCCCTGCTGCTGTTCTTACTTGGCATTTAAAGCTTCCCAGAGATTCAGGGCTTTTGACTGGGAGAGCACAAACCCGAAACCCTCAACCCTTCAGCCCTACCTGCGGCCCAAAATACCTACCTTTTTTAAGAAACTGTTTTACAGAAGCCATAATAAGGAACGCTAAAAAGTTTTTTTTACGGAACTTTTTATAGAAACCATAATAAGGAACCCTAAAACGGTAGGTCTTTTCGGCTACAGGTAGACCCTTAAATCACTGTACGAGTGACGGCATGCCTGTTGTTAGCCTCTGCTCCACGCCGTCCCAGAACCAGGACCATGCCTTTCCAGACCGAAAAGTTTGGGGCGCCTTGACAGTTAGAATACGGGTTGGGGTTATCTTATGTAGCAAAACAACTACAAGAAGGAACCCTAAGGAATAATAATTGGCAATTATTGAGGCTTCTGTGTACGTACTGGTGCTTGAGGAAGAGTGCAGGAAGGAACAACAATGACCTCTTTCAGTGACTGTACAGGGCGATTATAGGGATCCACTCTCCCACTTCTGCTTAACTGGTTCCCTCTTGGGGCTCTATTAAAAATGATCATTTTGAATCCTTATTGGGTTGTCTTATAACAAAATGTTAAAATTGCAGCCAACAAGGACCCAGTTAAGCACAAGCAGGACTACGGCGACTACGGGTGTAAGGTTTAGGGTTTGGGCCTATATGGGGCATAATTAATAAAGGAAACTCGATACAAGGGCCTCAATGACTAGAATGGGGTTCACTTAAATGCTTCTGAACAAGGATCTAGGTGTTTCGGGATTGAAGTGAGACTTGGACTTCCGGCCATCGTTTCGCATAGTCAAGTTGAAAAACTACTGTTCTACTCTAACTGACTCTACTTAATTACCCTAGATCCGAATCAGACTGAATATAGAGAAGGCGCATTCTCGTGCTCCATGTTCCACTGTGACGGCAGCAGCGAGCGAAGTGAAGCAAACATCACCTCTGCACTGATTGAAATTGCCATCGTGTTCTATTGTGTTGAATGCATTGCAGCGTCTGCTCTAGAATTGTGGGTTCAAACAAGCCTTTCGCTTAAGTTCCCACGACCACAGCTCGAATGTCAAGGAACCGTCTAGACTGGACTATAGAAGGCAGGTTTACAGGGGTTTTGGGGCTGTGATGAAACAGATTCGGGAAATTGCGGGGCCCCAGGGGTCATGAGCATGGTTGGGTTATCTGATACTATAAGGATCCTACAAATTTGGGGTCTATTCTAGGGCATCGCGTATTCTGCGTTTCCACGAACTGGGGCTGCATGGAGCATAACCTCAACCCCGACAAAAACCGGAAAAACACCCTATCAAATCCTTTGTGAAAAGCCGATAAAATTTTAACGAAAAACCAAAAGGACCCTCTGGCCTTGAAGAGCCTAATCCTTGAAAGGCCGATACAGTTTAAAAGCAAAGCAAAAGGACCATGAAGAGCCTGCTTGAAGTTGTTGAGGTCCACCTGAAGAGGGCGTGTCGTTCCGAAGCGGGGGCTGGGTAGGAAAACAAGATTCAGTGACAGCCTGCGCCTGGACTACTAACCTACAATCGCCACTACCCTGAACCACGATTCGGTGCGTTAGGTCCTTAGGGCTTTGGCAAGCTTCGGTTATTTAGCTTTTACTAACCTACAATCACCACTACCCTGAACCACGATTCGGTACGTTGGGCCCTTGGGGCTTTGGCAAGCTTCGCGTTTTTGGGGTGTAGGACATACAGGCGGCTCTAAGTCTAGACCATGGTCTACGGCTCAACGATGTGATCGAAGTGACAACAACCACTACCCAGAGGCCCCTAAGTAGTTCCTTTTTATGGTGTATATTTAGAATCCTATAAGGTAATCCCAAAAAGGAACTACTTAGGGGCCTATCCGCCTACTTCGGCTGTTAGCTCACGAGCTTTGGGTTCAAGGTTGAGGTTCAGGATTGCTCCCCAAAGGACGACACCCAACATGAGCCTGTTCGTAGTGGACCAGAGCCAGGCAGAGCAAGTCGCACTCTTCCTGCAGCCTGGAAATGTTTCCAGAATTTGGAACGAGCGCTCGAAGAGACTGGAGCATTTCCTTGGTTGCATCTACAGTAGGTTGCTCTTTGAAGGAATAGGGTGTACCTGTGCTCTCCAACATAGTTCCTAGATTTGGGTAACCAGCTGCCAACTGTATGGTAAGCATCCTATGCAATTCACCAACCAAGCCCTAAACCCTAAACCCCAGTTATTGAAACCAAATATGCAGCACAAGGAGGCTATAGGTAGGATGCTTCTGAAAAGGAATTGGGCGTAGAGTTCGCAAACTCGCTCTAACCTTGAAGGCTTGAAGGCCCAGGGCAATGCGTCGCGTCCTTGTATACTGCAGTCGACGGTTTCTTATACATGTACATACATTGTATAAACAAATAAACAAATAAATATAGAGAGAGAGAGAGAAGCAAGAGAGAAAGAGAGAGAGAGAGAGAGAGAGATGGAGAAGCACAGACACACACACACAAACAAACACACAAACACATACATTCATACACACACGTGTATGGCACGAAGACCGCAATCTACTACAATTGCAACTGGGCGTCTAATGTAAATTTCGGAAATTCTAGCTTAATGTTACATGGGGGGCCAGCAATCTTCGGGTTTAGAAGGTAAGGGATAGAAACGTTATGATAGTACTGAAGTGGCTTGATACAGTGGTTGCAGTTTGGATGTTTCGAGGATTGCGCGAAGGTTTAAGCGAGGGACGAACAAAAGAAGCCTCCAACAACACTTGCGGCCTATGTCCCAAAACCCCACCACGTTTCGGAACCCTTCTGACACCTAAAACACTAAATTCCACAAACGTGGAACAACCATTTCCTGATTCTGAATCCGCAAAACCAGACAATTGGCTTTCCGCCCCTCTGCTTTAAAACCCCAAAGCCCCGAACCCCTTTTTGCTGCAGGCTTGCAAGTGAAAAACGCCCGAAACCCTAAACCCCTGAACCCAAAAACCCCTAAGCCCAAAAACACCCTTAAAAACGAAACTAAAGGCCGAGCTGCTTCGAACCACAGGTTCTCGCTCATGTTCATGACAGATGCCTGGGCAGCTCTTGCAGGGCCCTTTTGGCTAGGGTTTGGGGTTTCGGGTTGAGGGCCCTTTTGACGAGTCTACCCCGAGGCTCCATAGTAGTTCCTTTTTGGGATTGCCCTAGGATCCTAAATATAAACCACACAAAGGAAGTACTGTGGAGCCTATGGGTAGTTTGTCAAATCCGCCCTAAGAATACATGGGGCTAACAAAGAGGGGGATCTTAGGCTTCGCAAGGTCTAAAGGCCTTAATTGGGGTTTATGCTATACTAACATACTAAAACTGGACAGGTAATGTTCAAGAACAGATCGGAAGCATTGAAGAGGACCATGTCGTGGAAGGAGCGCGGCACATGCACCGATCCTGTGAGAGCCGGAGGCTGGGCTATGAGCCTGGTTGCTCTAGGCCCCCACAGAACCCAATACCCCTTGATTATAGAGGCCTCAATATGATGATTTAAGGTATATTCCTTGATTATAGGGGTATTGGGTTCTCTGGGCCAGTAGGAGTTTGGGGTTTGGGGTTAAGGAGTTTAGGGTTTAGGAAGCAGGGCTTAAGGTTTAGGAGTTTAGGGTTTAGGAATGAGGGTTTAAGGTTTAGGGGCTTAGGGGTTTAGGCTTTGGCAAGCCTTTGCGGGAACTTGGGGGGTGCGGACTCCAGGTATCCCCGAGGATGAGGCCCGGTCTGGGTCATGATAAGTAGAATCTTTAGAAGGGTTTAGGGTTTAGGGTTTACTAGGGTTTAGCAGGGTTAAGTAGAATCTTTAGAAGGGTTTAGGATGTATCGACAGTACAGTTTTAAGCGAAGGGCTTGAACAAGAACTCGTAGTATTCCTGTCTAGTCCCCATACCGTTCTATCACAACAAAGCCCCATCCCCTACTCTAATTACCAAGGCCCCTTTATTACCGTAATGTTGCGATGAAGAACATATGGTCCGCTTCGCGACTGGCAGCCCAATCCGGTTTTTCGGGACTCTAGCCCAAACCCCTAAACCCTAAACCCCAAAACCCTAACCCCAAACCCTAAACCCCAACACCCTGAACTTCAGCTCCCCCTTAACTAAATCCTGAACCCTGAGGCTCTGTTGTACCTAAATAGTACATACTTTAGTCTCAAAGGGGTCACTACATAGGTACTTTAATTTGAGGCCTAATTAAGTGTATAAACTATGTATAGGTGTATATATAGGTGTGTGTATATATATATACGTATATATCGATATAGAGACTATATACTTATATATATATATATGTTGTGCGGTACTTGGGAAACAATCCAAACTCCCCGGGTCCTGCGTTGCCCAAACTCTTCCGGGGCTTACGCTCCCCAGACTTCTCGCTGGCCGTCACAGGTCCGTTGTCGTCACTCTCGGGCTCCTGTTTTGGTGTTTGGTCTGGGGAATCAGAAGCTCTGATTCATGACAACTGTAAATTTTGTGGATCTAAGGTGTGGGTGGGGGGTTGGGGTTTTAGACTCTGAGGCTGTTGCGTTTGGGTCTTCGGGGGGGCTCCTTCTCATCAAGGGAACCGGGAGAAACTGGCGAATCAAGGTCCATCTTCTCGCCCTCTGTATGCTCCAAGGCCGCCCAGCTCGTGCGCAGGATGCGAAGCCGTGTCTCGAACTTCGTCCGGGTGCGAAGCCTTAGCTTCGGAGATCAGATGCCCGAAAATAGCGGAAAAAACTCTCTTCTTTCGGGGGTTTGGTACAACCCATAGAATAGAAGGCCCAACAAGTTTAAAAAGTCTGCGAACTAGGAAGCATCGTCCTGCCCATGGAGTCGATCAGCATGGAGACGCCGAACTGAAACTCGGGCGTCAACAGGGCGCCAAGCTTCTTGCCGCAGAGCTCCTAGGCTGCTCTCCTCGCCGACCTTGAACCCTGAACCTGTTTACGCTCTCACGACTCGGACATGCCAGGCGAGGTCCCTAAACCCTAAACCCCGAACCTGTTTAGGGTTTAGGGTTTGAACCTCAGCCCTGAAGCCTTCATTTGTAGAGCACCCATAGGCCCCTAAGTAGCTCCTTTTTGGGATTACCTTATAGGATTCCAAACATAAACCATAACAAAGGAACTACTTAGGGGCCTAGGGGCAGGCTCATGTTCAAGACCGGCTAGACCCTTAAACCGGTCCTAAACCCCAAAACCCGTGAGTCCAAAAGGAACGGCCTAGCTTCAAGAAGGACAGACTTGAAGATGTCCACGTCCGACTGTTGCAACGCCACGCTCATGTGCCGAAGAGCACAAAACCTCTCGTTTTCGGTTTGTTGTTGCCGTTTAGAATTTAGGGTTGCGGCTGTCTTTAATTCTTTTTCGTTCTTGCAATAGAGCTATTACAATGCCCAAAGATTGGCTTCATCGCTTCAAGCTTACTATGAGAACCGAAGTCGAAGTGTAATATAGGAGATTTTGTAGTCAGAATTTCCACTAGTGGAACTGAGACTCTGGGGTATATATGAATATCCAGTCAGTATAAAGCCTAGCCTAGACTATGGGAATCTTCACACCTCGAAATTACCCCTGCAGAAGGGTCGGTCCTGGGCCTGCTCTCACCCCTGTATGTTGAGGTCACAACTTGGACATGCTAGGCGAGGTTCCGCAGTGTTGGGTCGGCGTGATACGATGCTCCCTGACCAAGATCTACAAGGGTTCAGGGTTTCCTAACCGCTCGAAACCTTGAAACCCAAGCCCTAGTGCCTCAAACCATACAACTCGAAGCCACTAGACCCTAAGAGTTGGAGAGAGCACCCGTTGGAGAGCACCCAACAAC